GGTGGAAGAGGCACAAGGGGTTTGCACACGTGGAGGAAAGGCCATGTGAACACACAGCGAGGAGGCGGCCATCTGCAAGCCAGGAGAGAGGCCTCTGGAGACAGCCAAGTGTGCTGGCTCCTGGGGCCTAGACTCCCCGCCTCCAGAACTTCGAGAAAGTAAGTTTCAGTTGTCTGAAAAAGAGAAAAAGAATTATAAAATAAGATTTGCTTCAGAGAAGCCCCATGTCAGTATATAATCTTTTGGTGACTTTGAGTCACTAATATGTAACTTGTCACTAGGAACAGTGATCTTTAAAAATGACTTTAGTGTTTTTAAACTAGTATCATATCACTAAAGGTATGTAACCTTATTGTACTCAGGAAAATGAGTGTAAAAAATTACCATTTCTCTTTAACCAGTTGATGTCCAAGATGACAAGGCAGTTTGGTTTGGCTCTTAATTTAACTTCTGAATTTTGGTTTCAGATCAATGTACACATTTCTTTTATAGCCACTGCATGACAGGAATAAACTATTGGGAAACACAGTAGAGCTCTAGGCATATCAAACTTACCATCAGTAGGATATATAATTTCTTTGTCTGACATGCAGCCTATTTGTACTTTCATCATGGAAACTGTGATTATTATAAAGTCACTATACGAAATTACCTTTGCCCTGGTTGGTGTGGCTCTGGATTGAGCGCTGGCCTGTGAACCAAGGGGTTGCCAGTCTGATTCCCAGTCAGGGCACGTGCCTGGGCTGTGGTCCAGGTCCCCAGTGGGGACACACAAGAGGCAACCACACATTGATGCCTCTCTCCCTCCCTTCCCCTCTGTGTAAAATTAAATAAATAAAATATTTTTTAAAAAGAAATTCCCTTCTATTATACAAAAAGCCTTAATCTTCTTAATAAAACTGACATTTCATCTTTCCTTTGATCATGTTTTTCATAGAAATTGAAGACGAATAATCAGTAGTTTATCTTTCAGAACCTTAAATGAATGATTTTCACATTCAGATTGTTAACTAATGAATTTTCGTATTTCATGGTGCTTCAGTTTCTATATTGAAAATAGAATTGGCTACAGAGTAATATAAGTCTGAGCCCTCTTCTGTCCATGTTAAATGATATACATCATTTAGCTAAATGAAAATGATACGGTGAGTGCTTCCTAAGTAAATAATTCCCATTACTTGTCAGATGCAGCCTTTAGATGGTTCTAAAAATACTCATCATGCTCTCAGTGGCCTTTTCCCTGTATCTGCTGTTTGGGTGTCAAGTTACAGAGTAAAGTTCCTTGGGGTTTCACGGTGCATTGTATCAAAGGTTATCAGTTGCTTTGAACACACTGATAATTTTCCCTAAACTGTGACTGAAGCTAGGAAAATGGGAAGTAAAACTTCAGTCATTTCTAATGATTAATCAAGACAGCCTTGAAAAGCTTTTCTGTTTGAGGTTTATTGCCACTAATTTATTGTTTCAAAGTCGGATACCCTGTATTTAACTTTCTGTTTTCTTTCAATATTATGTTGTATAATTGATATTGGTGCAGTTATAAATGTGAAAAATAGGCCTTGTTCAGGTTAGAGCCAAGGCAAAATAATTTTCAAAAAAAGTTACTAGACAATCAATCAGACATATGCAGAATTTCAGGGTTGAAGTGCCCTTGGCATAGTTTTATTGAAGGTGCCCTATGGATTGTTTCTCTACATTCGAAATCGCCCCAAATCTCTTAGCCTTTGCATAGGTCAAATTTGTCTTAAATGACAAGTGCTCTGGCCTATGAAGGAGGAAAGCAGAGAATAATTTGGGGTTCAAAACCTGAAAATAATGCCATCACCTGGCCTTCTTAGCTTCAGAATATAACCTTGAGGGATGATGTCCTCGGGACTATTTTGGCAACCCATTGATCTGTTCATAACATAGGAGACTTCTTACTCTTGTTCTAAATGATATCCAAGTTTGATATGCTCATTTACTTTCTTAGAATACTAGTTATTTCTTTTCCTATGAGAGAGAAATACCACCGGCTACAGCTGGATGCAGAGTCAAATTCAGATACGTGTTACTAGAAGAGAAATATATTGCCATGGGACAAAGCCTGAGAAAAAGAGAGATGTGTTGCCAAACAAAAACCTCCCTGGAGAACACAGAGTGTACTAATATTATATAGCAGATAAAGCACATCTCTATATACTTTATTATTGATGATGTTTTCTGTCAAGCACTTAAAATTTCAGTGCCTCCAAGGACTCATGCCTCTTTGAACCTCAGCTCTCTTTCTAAATTGAGTTAAAGAAGTAATTTCATTTTACTCTCTCGTAAAAATGAACATCTTAAGGCCCATATTGGGAGTTACCTGTAAACAATTCTTACAAAATAGTTGATTTCTACTTTTTGCTAAAGTTAAATTAATTCATCTAACAGATTAGAGTCTGTCTTGTGTTTTCCTTATTTCTTACCTTTAAAAAATAATGATATCTTTCCAATTGAAATGGAGGTCAGAGTGGCCAGCCAGTGCGGCTGGCGTTGGTCTGGAAGTCCTTCTTTTTCTGCTGTCACTTGTCTTCTATCTGGTGTGAGAATCCGATACCCTCCTCTCCACACACACCATCTCCTGCAAACCTCCCCCCACCACACACATGTTTAAATGAGAAAAAAGAACGGTCAGTTTCCATTTACTCAGTTTTTAAAAATTTCTCAAATCTTACCTCTACTGAAGTTATTCCCTAAAGTTCACTGATGATAACACACACACGCACACACAATGGCATTTACTGTATTTCACTGGTGTGAGCACTTTCATAAGTCCACTTCTTTAGTCCATTTAACACTTTGAGGTAGGTACTATTGCTAAGCTCATTTTTATAGTTGAGGAACTGAATGAAGCACTGAAAAGTGGCAGAGCCTGGAGCCGATCTCATATTCTGACGGCTCCTCAGCATCACTCAGCATAATGCTCTGCTGTGGCATTTACTCACCAAGTCGAAAGAAAGCCACTCACGTTCATTGTTTTCAGGCCCTGCGTGAATAGCGTTTGATAGTGAACAGTCCTCTTCTTGTAGCTTTATCCTCCTTTGCACTTGTGACAATTATTTATTGATCACTGCTCTATGTCAAGCACTGTTCTAGGCACTGGGGATATTTCAGTGACTAAAAATCAGACAAAAACTCTTTTCTGTGTGGAGCTGACATCCTAATGGAGAGGGATAGATAAAGACAGACCATGAAAAATCAGCATAATGAAGTAAATTACATGGTATGTTATGCAATGGTAACATAGATGGTAAGTGCTATGGAAAAATCTACACAAATGTGTAAATAAAGAGAGGAGGGTAGAGAGGATTTGGGGGCAGGAGTACAAGTTAAATGGCTAGTCAGGTAAGGCTCTTTTAAGCAAGGAGTTAGAGGAGTTGGGAGATGAGCTACGAGGATATCTGGGAGAAGAACATTCCAGGGAGAGCGAACAAGCAGTGCAAAGGCTTTGGGGTGGGCGTGTGCCTGCCGCGGTCAAGGAACAGCAAGGTGGCCAGGGAAGCTGGAGGGGCACAGGGGAGAGCAGTAGCAGACTAGACCCACCAAGTTCAGAGAGGACAGAGCAGGACCTCGTAGGCTGTTCTGGGAATTTGACTCTTTGAGAGAAATGGGAACCCTTTGGGGAACTATCAAAATAGCTGGTTATTAAATAGTTCTTATAGCACAATCACATTCCTATAAAGAAATAAAAAGTACTTTGTTGTGCAAAGGAAAATAAAATACATAGCAAAATGATAGTAGCAATTTGGAGTGATTTAATTTTTAATTTTTTGTTTTTATATCTATTTAAATAATTTGTAATAAATTTTTGTGACTAAAAAGATCAATATACATTCTAATTATACTTTGTAGTAAGATTTATATAAATATAATCTGAAAACAATATATATGCTTAGAAAAGATTTAAAGGATATATACTCCAGTGTTAATAATGGATTTCATACAAATAGGGTCATGAATGATTTTTATTTCCATCTAGATTCTTCATATTTTTAAATTTTTAACACATGATAAGTATTGCCAAAGATAATACTAAAAAAATTATAAGTTAAAAGGAAAAGTATTGCACCTTCACGTTATGAACAGTGTTTGGGGACTGTAGGACTGGGTGCAGGACCATTTGTAGGATAAGGGGACAGGAATGTAATTTTCCTGTTTGGGGAAACTGCAGAGGTGTCAAGGGCATCCCACAGTAACTTTTCAACCAGTCTTCTTTCTGCTGTGGGGGACACTGAGAATAGGGGGCAGGCAGAGAAGTACTTGGAAGAGCTTAAAACTGATGCTCTACCCAGCTCAAGTAACCTTTAGTAGTGTTTCATAGGATTCTTACCTAAGGAGCTTAAAAATGGCATCCATCTTACCAAAACTGTTACACACTCTAAAATGTTAAAATCCATATCACTTTCTAAAATTCATCCATTTCTCCACCGTTGTTGGGGATAATTAGTCTTTTCTTGATATCTCAAATTTCAATGTGATATATACTTCATTACTTCTAAAGCATAAGGTATTTGAAGTTTTGAATATTGACACATTTAAATACAATATTCTTTTTTTTAAAGAATTTATTTATTTATTCTTAGAGGGGGGAAGAGAGGGAGAGAGGGACAGAAATATCAGTCAGTGTGTGGTTGCTTCTTGAGCACCCCCTATTGGGCATCTGACCTATAACCCAGGCATGTGCCTTGACTAGGAATTGAACTGGTGACCTTTTGGTTCACAGTCTGGCACTCAATCCACTGAGCCACACTGGCCAGGGAATAACACAATATTCTTTAATTATTTTTTAATACAACTCATCCTAGGCCAAGAGACTTTAAAAGCATCTTTATAACACTTTTGTAGTATCCATTTTCAAATGCCTGTAGGCAATACTGTGTACCAAAATGTAATGTCAGATTCTAAGAAAGTGATATAAATATGAACTGGCTAGCTAGATGAAATGATTGATTGATGTAATTTTGTTTTGTCATTTCAAGGGAGTGAAAAAAATAGACCCAAAATTCTATGAAAAATTTATCAGTCACAGATTTGGAGAAGAAACGGTGCATCGCATTGATCTTTGTTCCATGCTGAAGAAAAAGCAAAGTAATGGTTATTATCATTGCGAGTCTTCGATTGCGATTGGTGAGTGCCTTTTGAAAATCATTTACTATTTTAATTTTGATTTATTTCTTTAGCCTTTATTTTGGCAAATATTTGGTACTAATTGCATATATTTTTCTCAATGATATAACTTTCTAAATATATGTTTTAGGAATACTTACTGAAAATTTTGTAGCACATATCTAGTATCTGTATTTATCAGTCAACATTTTAGTACATGTAGTTTCTCTGCTTTTGTGCTTTAAATATAATTATAATGAAATCTTAAAATGTTGATTCAAAATGCATTTTAGTTTATTTCATGAATATGAAGACATCATTTTCTCCAGTAAAGGCCTAAATGACTACACCATTCTACACCAGACATTTTCACATTTGTTTGCTGCTTTTAATTAGGAATAGAATGTTCTAGCACATGGAATTTCACTCTGGGAAAGCCTTTGTAGGTGGACTGCAAAGAATGAACACGCGTCCTTCAGTTTCTCCCCTCAAGGAAACGTGTTTTGTGGGGAAACAAAGATCCATACGTATGTGCTCTAGCGCCTCATCGGAGAGATGGCACGTGGAGACAGGCTCACCCACATTGGGCTTTGGTGTCCAAGTGGAAATTGTGGGCACCAAATGCAGATTTCTTTAAAAACAAAGGCGACAACAACAAAAGCAGAACAGGCCTTTCCCCATTGTTGCCATGTGAGTATATTTCATAGGATCCTGGTCTGTCGTGATTCAGATTTACTATTTCAAACCAGGCACTATTCTTATAAAATTGTGAACTTCAAGACAACCTAACATGAAAGTACTCAAAGAAGATAAATACATGATTCTAAATATTTCAAGGTCTTCAAACAAGAGAATTTCTCTCCACTTCAGCTTGAAGAGAACCTGTGGAAATATATGCCCTGAAAGAATCTTAATACCGAAGTTTATTCAAGCACATTAAAAAATACTCAAGAGACACAATTTCATTTCCGAATTCTCACTGGAGATCTTCAGAGAAGCCATCATTTTACCGTCCAAAGATTTTAGCTTTCTTAAACAGAAGATACTCTGTATGTCATTCGAATTTTATGGTGTAAAATATTTCAAATCTATTTTAAGGATTTTTTTTTTGGTTTCAGAATCTCACATTTTCAGAGCTGTCTTCCACCAAAGTTTTATTTTTATTTCTTTTCTTTTTTTTAAATTGTTAATCCACTGAAGTTTTGATGAGGACTAAACATTTCTGCTTTGGCTCATTGTAAAAGGCAAATTCGAATCCTTCTAGAGTAGTGCAGATTTTGGCTAGCTTTCCATGTCTTCTCTGTTATTACTTTAGGCCAACCTTTACAGAGAACTGTGTACTTCATTGCTTCTCCTATTCCCACTCTCATTTAAAAAAATAGATAAAAAATATGTAAATTTGACCGGATGTGGGACTGCATTATATAGGTTATAGCATCCTTCACCTAGAGAGTTCTGTTCTCACCCAAAATCACTATATATTGGCTACTGATTTTTTTATTGCTCTTTTCTAGCTTAGTTTCAAAAATTCCCTCAATTATAGGCAATTTCTCTAGATTTTTTATTAGGTTTCTTCATATCCTTATCCTATATTCTTATCCTTTTCTAATTCAGAGCAGTTTAGCTTCTTTCAGACTCTACCAACCGTATATCCCCGTGCGGATCATTTAACATTATTTAAAAAAATTTTTTGCTCATTGCATAATTTTCTTCAGTCACATTTTGTGACACTAGTATGAACTGTAAAATAATTACTGCATCTAAAATGACAATTATGTTAAAGTTAACCAAGTTTAATACACACTAGTGTTCTTTTATTTGGTATGGGTAATTATTTTCTCAATCTTATCTGAGTTTTGAAACAATATTTACCAGGATTTTGGGATACTTTGTGAATTTCATTTCTAGATCAGATTTAATTGGTTTATGTTGGTTTGGCTTCTCTTTGGTTTGATTCTAGCACAAATTTAATGTCTGTTTCCAGAATCTTGTGTATAATGAGTGGGTTGATTTCTGATCTTAAGATATTTTGTATTCAGAATGCTTCAGTGGAAGTTGGGTTTCACAGAATTTGGGAGCCTCCTGAAATTGCTTATGTGCATATAGGTACATATGTGACTGTGCATGTAGGTACATATGTGACTTTTCTGGGGAAGGAATTTATTAGATTTGTATATTTCCTATCTCTTAATTTGTTAATGGTGCGTTCTTGGAGACTGGTAGATTACAAATGACCCCGATTTTCTTTGCAACTGTTTTTATATCATTTAGGGCATCTTGTTACTTATTTATTTAGTTATCTTTTAAAAATATTTATTTTTTTCTTTAAAAATAGTTACTTTTTCCAGCTTTATTGAGATATAATTGACATATAACTTAGGTAAGTTTAAGGTGTGTGACATAACGACTTGATACATTTATATCCTGTGAAGTGGTTACCAGCATAGTATTAACACCTCCATCCCCTTACATATTTATCATTTTGTATGTGGGGGGAGAGCATTTAAGAGCTTCATTCTTAGTAACTTTCAAGTATACAATACAGTATTATGAACTATAATCATCATGCTCTGCACTAACTACATCCCCAGAAATTATGTGTCCTGTAACTGGAATTTGCACTTTTGACTGACATCTCTCTGTGTCCCTCCTCCTGCCCCTGGTAACCATCCTTCTGCTCTGTTTTGTTTCAGCTGTTTTAGATTCCATGTATGTGAGACCATACAGTATTTGTCTGATTTTTCACTACTTTTGGTTTTATTTTATCATGGGTCTGTTCTTGGAATTCATTTTTGTGTTTCTTGTATAAATGAAATGTCAAGTGTTTTTTAGAAAACTATCAGTGACTATATGCTTCATTTCTTTTTAAAATCATTGTAAAATTGATATTGTATTGCCGTTGTCCCAGTTTTTCCCCCTTTGCTCTCCTCCACCCATCCCACCCTCCACTCCCACAGTCAGTCCCCACACTGTCGTCCATGTCCATGGGTCATTCGTACATGTTCTTTGACTAGTCCCTTCCCCTCCTCTCCTCCATTATCCTTCTCCCAACCTCCCCTGTGGGCACCGTAAGTCTGTTTCACATTTCCATGCTTGTGGTTCTATTTTGTTTGTTAGTTTATTTTGTTCTTTAGATTCCCCTTATAAGTGAGATCATATGGTATTTGTCTTTCACTGACTAGCTTATTTCATGGAGCATAATACTCTCCAGTTCCATCCATGCTGTTGAAAAAAGTAGGAGCTCCTTTCTTTCTGCTGTATAGTATTCTATTGTGTAAATATACCTTAGTTTTTTCACCCACTCACTTACTGATGGGCACTTAGTGGCTATTGTAAATAGCACTGCTGTAAATATAGGGGTACATAAGTTCTTTTGAATTGGGGTTTCAGTGTTCTAAGGGTATATTCCAAGCAGCAGTATAGGCTTCATTTTTAATTAATTATTTTTCATGTTTTCCTGTTCTGCTCTTTGCTTCATGGATGCTATTCCTTCATTTTTCTCTTGGAGGATTTCAACCTAGTTTGTATTTAATGTTCTTTTCATATTTTTAAAGTTTCTAGTTCCTCGGGTATGAATTCTTCTCTATGTTGGGTCTTTTGTGGCACTCCATTTTCTCTGGTGCTTTTTAAGTTTTTCTGAGGGCTCATTTGCATGTTTCCCCATCACCCCATGTGCAGTTTAGAGATGTCAGCCCCAGTCCCATAGGTACCCTGCTCTGAACTGGGTGAGGAGTGGAAGTTGCAAACCATCCTCGTCCACAGGGTTGGAGTTCATTCTTCTTGTGTCTCACCAATTTGTGAGGTTTTTTTAAAGCGTAAAGAGCATTAGCACTTGCCATATTGGCTTCAAATATTTTCCAGATTTTATTTTGCACTTAATTTTGGTCACAAGTTATTTTTCATATTAAATGTTTCAAGTTTTTGTTAAATTGTAGATTGAAAAAGTTCTACTGTGATTTGTTTAATTATTCTGACCAGAGTCATCTCCAAACCAGAGATTTGATGTGTCAACATAAGAAATGTCCAAACCTGTGGAGATTTGTATGAGTTTTACTTGAACCAAACTGACGACCATTGCTGGGAAGCAGGATCCCAGTGGGCTGGGAAAATGCTCCAGAGAATGGCGGTTTTGCAGCTTATTTTCATGCATTAGAAACAGAGGAGGAGAAGTGGGGAGGGTTACATGAAATCCAGTGGGGGAGGTTAAAGAGGTGGGAAAAAGCAAAGCGGAAATGTCTGAGACTGGATAAAAAGTAAGAGAGACACATACTTTTTTTACATTGGGGGTAGAGGATGACTTACGAATGAACCTTTGCACCACTTAGAGACGGTACTGGGGGGAGTAGTGAGGCTTCAGTGGTCTCCACTCAGGTGTGGTTGTGCCCGAGGGGTCTGGTAAAGGACGTTACCTGACATTTCAAAGGTGTGTTATAGTAGATGCAAAAACACTGGAGAGGATCAGTTCCGGTAAAGGGTGACCTTTGTCCGGGAAGCTGCAGGCCTAGGATGTGACTGTCTACCGATGTTCCGACTGTCCCATGTGATAACTGTCGGTGTTGGAGTTTGTGAGCTCGCCACGGAGGCCACCCCTGCGATGGTCAGTTTTAGTCGCTCGTTCCTTTCTGTCCACAGATAGAGATATATTTATATTGTCTTCTAGTTTTTTTCATTTGAGCTTTTAAAATTTTTAAATTTTCTTATTTATTGATTTTGGGGGTGAGGGAACAGACAGACAGAGACAGAGAGACAGACATCCATTTGTAATTTCACTTTTCCATGCATTCATTGGTTGATTCCTATATGTTTCCTGATGGGGGATCGAACCCACACCTTGATGTATTAGGATGATGCTCCAAATGAGCTACCTGCCCAGGGCTTTCATTTGAACTTTTAAGGTACCTGTTATGATCATTGGTATAAGTACTCAGACATAGAGTATTAACAAAAAATCCAGTTACTAAAAGTGAGTGTGAAGTAGGGATTTAGTTTTAGGAATATGTTTGTACAAAACTTTTTATGCC